GTTGTGTTCCTAATGATGGCTATTCTAACAGGGGTAAGGTGGAATCTTAGTGTGGTTTTAATTTGCATTTCCTTTATTGCTAGAGATGGTGAGCATTTTTTATGTGTTTTTTGGCCATTTGAATTTCTTCTTTTGAGAAAGTTCTGATTAGTTCACTTGCCAATTTCTTTATTGGTTCATTAGTTTTGGGAGAATTTAGTTTTTTAAGTTCCCTATATATTCTGGTTATCAGTCCTTTGTCTGATGTATAGTTGGCAAATATTTTCTCCCACTCTGTGGGTGTTCTCTTCAGTTTAGAGACCATTTCTTATCACGAGCAGAAGCTTTTTAGTTTTATGAAGTCCCATTTATCTATGCTATCTCTTAGTTGCTGTGCTGCTGGGGTTTCGCTGAGAAAGTTCTTACCTATACCTACTAACTCCAGAGTATTTCCTACTCTTTCCTGTATCAACTTTAGATTTTGTGGTCTGATATTAAGATCCTTGATCAATTTTGAGTTAATCTTTGTCTGACATGTAGCTGGCAAATATTTTCTCCCATTCTGAGGGTGGTCTCTTCAGTTTAAAGACCATTTCTTTTGTTGAGAAGAAGCTTTTTAGTTTTATGAAATCCCATTTATCTATGCTATCTCTTACTTGCTGAGATGCTGGGGTTCCATTGAGAAAGTTCTTCCCTATACCTATTAATTGCAGAGTATTTCCTACTCTTTCCTGTACCAACTTTAGAGTTTGGGGTCTGATATTAAAATCCTTGATCTGTTTTGAGTTAATATTGGTATAGGGTGATATACATGGACCTAGTTTCAGTTTTTTGCAGACTGCTAACCAGTTTTCCCAGCAGTTTTTGTTGAAGAGGCTGTCTTTTCTACATGGTATATTTTTAGCGCCTTTGTCAAAGACAAGTTGATTATAGTTGTGTGGCCTCATATCCAGGTCCTCTATTCTGTTCTGCTGGTCTTCATGTCTGTTTTGTGCCAATACCATGCTGTTTTTATTGCTATTGCTTTGTAATATAGTGTGAAGTCAGGTATTGTGATACCTCCTGCATTGTTCTTTTGACTGAGTATTGCCTTGGCTATTCGTGTCCTCTTGTGTTTCCATATAAATTTCACAGTAGATTTTTCAATCTCTTTAATGAATGTCATTGGAATTTTGATGGGAATTGCATTAAACATGTAGATTACTTTTGGGAGTATAGACATTTTTACTATGTTGATTCTACCAATCCATGAGCATGGGAGATCTCTCCACTTTCTATAGTCTTCCTCAATCTCTTTGTTCAGAAGTTTATAGTTTTCCTTGTAGAGGTCTTTCACATCCTTTGTTAGGTTTACACCTAGGTATTTGATGTTTTTTTTGAGGATATTGTAAATGGAATTGTTTTCATATATTCTTTTTCAGTTTGTTCATTATTAGTGTATAGAAATGCTAATGATTTTTCTATGTTGGTTTTATAGCCTGCTACCTTGCTATAGCTGTTGATGGTGTCTAGGAGCTTCTGAGTAGAGTTTTTTGGGTCTTCAAGGTATAGGATCATATCGTCTGCAAAAAGGGTTATTTTGATAGTTTCTTTACTTATTTGTATTCCTTGTATTCCTTCTTCTTGCGTAATTGCTCTGGCTAGGATTTCAGTACTATGTTGAATAGCAGTGGAGACAGTGGGCATCCTTGTCTAGTTCCTGATTTTAGAGGGAATGGTTTCAGTTTTTTTCTGTTAAGTATAATGCTGGCTGTAGGTTTGTCATATATAGCTTTTATAGTGTTGAGGTACTTTTCTTCTATTCCTAGTTTTCTTAGAGCTTTTATCATGAAATGGTGTTGGATCTTATCAAAGGCTTTTTCTGCATCTATTGAGATAATCAAGTGGTTTTTGTCTTTGCTTCTATTAATGTTTATTATGTTTATTGATTTTCATATGTTGAACCTCCCCTGCATTCCTAGGATGAATCCTACTTGGTCATGGTGAATGATCTTTTTGATGTGTTGAATTCAGTTTGCCATTGTTTTATTGCGGATTTTTGCATCAGTGTTCATTAAGGAGATTAGCCTATAGTTCTCCTTTTTGGAGTTGTCTTTGCCTGGTTTTGGGATAAGTGTAATACTGGTATCATAAAATGTGTTAGGCAGTTTTCCTTCCCTTTCTATTTCTTGGAAAAGTTTAAGGAGGGTTGGTATCAGTTCTTCCTTAAAGGTCCAATAGAATTCAGCAGAGAATCCATCAGGTCCTGGACTTTTCTTTTTGGGGAGACTCTTGATTGCTGTTTTAATTTCATTTTGTGTTATAGATGTATTCAGGTGATTAATTTCCTCTTGGTTCAGTTTTGGATGATCATATGTATCTAGAAATCTGTCCATTTCTTTAAGATTTCTTTTCACAGGTCTTGAGTTGTTTAACTAGTAGTTCTTTGGTTTTTCCTTTAATTACCATTTCATCTTTGAGTTCTGAGATTCTGTCTTCTGTTTGTTCTATTCTGCTGGATTGGCCTTCCATTTTATTTTGCAATCTGTTTCGTTTTTTTCCTGAGGTTTTCCATATCCTGAGTCATTTCCTCTTTAATTTTGTCAATTTTCGTCCTGAGTTCATTTATCTCCTTATTAATCGTGTTCTTTGTTTCACTTTGGTGTTTATACAGTTCTTCTATGGTTTCTTTTATTTCTTCTTGTGCTTTTTCAAATTCTAAATTTTTGTTGTCCTTGAATTTCTTGAGTGTCTCCTGTACATTTTAGTTGACCATATCCAGTATCATCTCTGTAAAATTCTCATTGATTACCTATGGTATTTCTTGTTTTAGATTATTCTTGTGGGTTTCATTGGGTTCTTTGGCATAGTTTATCTTCATTTTGTTGGAGTCTAGATCTGAGTATCTGTTTTCTTCATTTCCCTCTGGTTCCTGTACAAATTTTTTGCTGTGTGGAAAGTGGTTTCCCTGTTTTTTTCTGTCTTCCCATCATTGCCCTTGGTATTGTTATTGTCCCTGTTCTGTGTGCATTTAAGTATTTTCTAGCTTATAATAATAACAATGGTGATATTTAGAATGGAAGGGTGAGAGGAGAGGGAAAGCAAAGAAGTTAAAGAAAGAGGGAAAAACAAGTAAACAAACAAAAAAACCCCAAACAAAGAAAGTTTCAAAGATATAAACAGGGAGAGACAGTGTACTAATCAACAGTAAGCTGAAGAGGCATTAGAGAGACAGAGAGAGGATTGAGAAAAAAAATAATAAAATAAATAAATAATAAAAAATAAATTAATTAAAAAACTCCAAATTCAAATGCAGTAAAGTTTCAATCTTTATAATTTTGGTGTTTGTCCCTCAGCCTCCAATCCTGGAGATGATGTCTCAGAAGTAATTCTGTCATTGTCTCATCAAAGGGGAAAAAAACCAAACCAAAACAAAACAAAACAAAAAAAACACCACAAAATGTCACAAGTTCAAATGCAATACAGTTTCAGTAAGTTTTTCAGCATGCAGGTGTAGTTCGGTTGTTGTCTCATCAAAGGAAGAGAGAAAAAAAAAACAGTCTGGAGACAGTTCTGAGAATGGTATCTGCAGCTGTGGCCACCTGCCTGCTGCAGTCAGCCTGCTGTTGCTGGAGGCGTTATTTATGCAGATCTCAGGAGTGAGCTTAACACTCACCTGGCCCTGCAGGCTTTGTTTACTCAGAGTTCTCCTGGGCGAGACCACCACTGCTACAAGCTTTCCCCTTTTCAAGCACACTGCGGGAGGTGACACTGCGCCCACTTTCTCAGGCCAGTGTGTTTATTTACAGTTCACGAGGGAAGTGGGCCTTCTCCCCTCTCCTGTGGAGTTTTCCTCCCACCACCACTTTTACAAGCTTTCCTGCTCCTGATTGCTGGGTGTGCGCCACCGCTCCTGCCTTCTCCAGCAGGCTTATTGTGAGGGATTCCCCTCCCCCCACTTCAGTGCTCAGGGCGCCCTGTCCTCTTTACTACGTGTCTTTTTTGTTGTTATTGCTTATTATTCAGTTTTTTTTTTTCTTTTTTCCTGGGTGGGGGGTCAGTCTGTCCAGGGGGCTATGCTGATCTTGCCTAGGATTGTCTGTGGGAGTTCCGTGTGTTGCTTAGCTCACCTTGTGGTCTGCTTCTTCCCAAGTGGTCTGGGCACTGGCGTCTGGCATCTGGTGGCAGCGTGGGAGCCCTCCTGGCTTCTCCATTCCATTTAATGTGGAGTGGGAATTTTATGCATGGCCTGGGGCTGTGGAGGAGTGAAAGTTTTGCCTCTTCTTGGTGGTTTTTCCTGTTAGGTGTATCTCCAGCGTCTCTCCAAGATTTTACGTTAGGAGGCATGCTTTCTGCTTCCTCCCTCTAGCTGCCATCTTGGAATCTCCCAGTTAATATTTTTTGCCATTGTAAATTTCTTAGATTTTTATGAATATCCAACAGTCACATTTCATGACAACATTCTAAGAATTTGAATGGTACATATTTCTTTCTTATTGCATTCTTTCCATGAATCTACAATTATTTTGAAATAAAAATATTTCAAGTATATTTTAGTTTACTACACTAAAACACATCATAAAGAAAAACATGTGAACTCAGAAGATGATTGGACATATAAGGTTCCTGCAGAAACAAACCCTCCCCCTCTATTATACATACTGTGTCCAGGTTCTCCTGCCTCAGGGAGATATCATCAACCTCCTGTGACCCTGTGGCCTTCTATATTACTCAGTCATCAGCTAAATGTGATGAACCCTATCTTCAAAAAGAGGTTATGTGATCCATGTTCTCTAGGATGCCCCATTTTCAGTCATTGCCTGCATGTATGCCTAATCCACTAAGTATTTTTTGAAAGAAATTGCTTCTGAACATTAGAAGCTAAAATTGAGAAATGTCAGTAGCAGGGAATGTTAATCACATTCCTCTATTCACCAGAAAGTTTTCTTGGTTCAGGATTTTGGTTCAAATTCTCAAAAGTCAACTGTACCTTCAAGTCATTGAGAAAACTCTGCCATAGTTAACAACATTTCTTTCTGCAGATTCCACCATGTATTCTTTGGAACCATGTATTCTGTTGATAATCACCCTATAGAATTGTATTATCTATTGTCAAGCCCAGCAGCCCAAGAGGTAAGCATCATTATGGTCATAGATAAGCATGGTACAAACATAAATTTAAAAATATGTTGGCTGTGGCCTGTTCTGTCTTATACACATGGAAATGAATCTTTTTTTTTAAGTTAACTCTTAAATGTATTACAGGAGTAATATGTATTTATTTTTAAGTAAAGAAAAAAAAAGACCTATACCTAGACATAATTACCATTAATCTTCTATATCTTTTTCTACATGTATATTATCTTTTTTTATTGTTTTATTATTCATATGTGCATACAAGGCTTGGGTTATTTCTACCCCCTCCCTTACCACCCACTCCACCCCCTCCCTCTCCCCCCAACCCCAGAAATGAATCTTTACATATTATTTGTAATATTTTAACATGTTATTGATTTACCAATTTCCAGTAGTCCTATTGGGCCTCCTGCTCTTCTTCTTCCTGTCTCTCATTCTCTCCTTCTATCCTCTTTTGTGTAAAACTTTTATTACATACTTTTGTTTCTGAACAATTTGAGAGAAGCTTGCAGACACCATTCCAACAATGTCTTTCCTAAAAATAGAGACAAATGTTAACTTATAATTTCATCTAATGTACATTCCATAATGAATGGCCTTTACTTTTCCAAATAATTTTCATTATTTGGAATGTTCATTTATGTAAATTTTTATTTTTAATTATTTGAATGTAGTAGGGTTTGAACTCAGGTCCTCACTCTTAATAGGCAGGCACTCTACCACTTGAGCCACTACTCCAGCCCAGCTTTGGATTAGGTATTTTTTCAACATAGGATCTCATGAAGTATTTGCCCATGCTGTCTTTGAATGGAGATCCTCCTGATCTCTGCCTCCCAAGTAATTAGGTTTATAGGAGTAAGGTACTGGCACCTGGCGGGAAGAAATTTTTTTATTAGTTTACATTTGTTTTAGAGGGTGAATTAATTGTGATATTTCTAAATATGCTTTCATTGTACATTGGTTAGATTCTTCCCAACCATCTCTCTCTCATTCCTCTCCCCCTACTTAAAACATTGTAAAACTTTAAGGTAAAGAAATTTTATTTTGCCTCATGTTTTTAGTCCATGATTATTTGGTCCCTTGCACTTGGTTCATTTGCCAAGAATGTCACAGGGTAAAGTTGAGTTTGGTGTCAGAAATATATTAGCAATTAAAATGAATAAACACGGTCCAGATGCTTGTTGGGCCCAAAGTTCCTTGTAAAACACAGAGGCAGCCAGAAGAATAAAATGACCCCAAATCTACTTCCCAAGAGTTAACGTAGAAAAGCTCCATTCACCAAAGAAAAGGCAAGAGAAAGGCAGGGAGGAGCAAATTTCACCTGGGACAGTCAGGGAGAGACCACCTGAGCAGGTAGATCCAGAGAACCCAGGGCTTTTAAGAAAAGAAATTGGGAGGGCAGGACTCTCCATCATGGATATGCAGCATGTAAGAAAGAAAGGGAAGGGCATCTTTGGTGAACCCACGCTCTTTCTGTTCTGCTGAGCACAAAGCTCTAGAAATAGTTTTGAAAACATTCATAAGAGGCAGACATTCTGTAAAATGTCTCATGCAAAAAAATACTTTGGTCCTGCTTCTGTTATAAAAGTCAACCTAAAATTAGAGGAGCACAGTTCAAAGCCAGCCTAGGCAATTAAGTTCATGAGATTCCATTAACAAAAAAACTGGAGCAAAATATACTGTAAGTGTGGCTTGAGTAGTATAGCTTTTGGTTTGCAAGCATGAAGCCCCGTGTTCATCCCTAGTCCCACCAAAGAAAAAGAAATACCTTTATTAGGGTAGTGTGGTTCTCAGTGCCAAGGCACTTGCTTACATGGTGGTAAGCCCTAGTTTTAATCCCCAACATGTCAAAAAAAACAGTGGTGTTTCTGTGTATGCTTATTTGTGTTTTTTATATATAATATTTACACTAAATAATTAGAAGCTAGAAAACAGCAGCCAGCATTTGTTAACAATGTCTGATGTGCCAAGTCTGAAATGTTAAGAATCAGCTTTTGATGGGCATGAATTTATATTGAACTGTGAATACAATTAAAGCAGAAAACTATTCTTTGAAATCTATTGTTTCATACTCCTCCAAAATATCAGTGGTTAAATTCCTTCTGGATCTTCTACTTCTTTTTACCTTCAAAATTTGATTTTAATTATGAATTGGTATTGTATTTTTAGCATCAGTGGTGATACTGAAAACATACACCTGAAAGACTTAATCAATAATTACAAACACATTATGTGCATCAAATATTCTTTTAAAAAGTGCTTTGAGTGGTTATTTTTATTTTATTTGTTCATCTTTTTCACGATACTAGGAATTGATCACAGTGCTTTGTTTATGGTAGGCAAGTGCTCAACCCTTGAGCTTCAGTCCAACCCTGGGTGAATGTTATTTTATGTGGTTTTCATTACTTTAAATTCCTATTTCTGGACTATCATGAGGGAATTAATTTATAAAAATAGTAATTCTGGAGTATTTTTTGCTATCCAGCATAGGCTGTTTTGAATACCAATATCACTACAGAAGAGTTCCTTCAATGTTCACACTCACTAAGACCATGTCTGGCTGGGCAAGATGTAATGGGGACTTAAAGCTGAATTTGTTAATGATCACTGACAACTTACTTGGGTACAGGAATTAGCTAAAGGCAGGAAATAGTTGATTGCAATGCCTCTTTTCCATAAAAATGGAAGAAATATATTGATGGTGGAGAACATGTAAGCAGGACTACAAAAGGAATAAACTTTAGTGTAGCCAGCTTGCATGCTGGCCCATTTATTTACTTGTTCATCAAACTGACATTTTCTCCTTTTTTGTCTATGTGCTGGAGAGACCAGCTGTGTGCTAGAGAGTCCAAGATTAGCATCCTTTACTCTTCAATTAAACTTGGCAGCCTTCTGCTCTTCTAGGAAGCCTAAGCTTCTCACTAGAGAAGCAAAGCTGTCATCCAAAGCAAACAGCTTCTGAGATGTGGCGTCAGAGTATTTGAAGAATCAAGGCCAGCACCTACTGTGTGAGGTACATTTTTGGCAATTACTTGAACTGTGCCAGTGAAAATGGTTGACATTTTTCGCTCAGAAGTGCAATGACATAGCTTTCTGAGGTTGACTCTCCCATCTTGCTGTTTGTCTGATGAATAATAAACTTTTTTCCTTTTCCTCAAATCCCATGTTCTTGTCATTTAGGAATTGGAATTGAGGCCAGTGAACTGCCCCTCAGTAACAAAGGCATGGGATAAAATCCCAGTCTCCAAGGCTGACCCCCAGCAGGAAGTGTACCATCATTAGACTCAGCTGGCCTCAGGGCCGCACTATAGGAAAGTGACTCCCTTGTGGCATTGCTAGAGCACAACAGCCCACAGAGGCCTACAATGATGGACTGATGGAAAATCTGAATGATGGAATTCTCTACTCCAGTTTTGGTCTCTGTGGTCACAGAGAAGTGAATTTTGCATTTTTTAAAATTTTACTTTATATATTTAGCAATAAAAATGTTTTTAATAGTGGGAATTTAACACAGGGCCTCATGCTTGCTAGGCAAGAACTGTACCATTTGAGTCTTGCCTCCAGCCCAGCACTTAGTGTTTTTCAAATGGCTAGGAATGTTGCTGTAGTGACAGAATGCCTACCTAGCAATCTTGAGGATGAGTTCTAACCCCACAACCACCAAACAAAACCAAACAAAAAAATTTTTTTTAATTTACATTGAAAAATTAATCTTATATAATACAACTTTGTTTTTGTTTTTCTTTCTTTCTTTGGATATGACTTCCATATTTGATTTTAAGTGTACTTTTGATTTTATATTAAACAAAATGAAAAGAATTTTATGTTAATTCTTTTTTATAGAAGTCACTCAATGGCCAATATTTTTATATTCCTTCCTTTTAAAAATATAAAATTTGTATTATTTTCAATATACTTCTCATAGTGCTGTATTAGTGTTTTAGAAGGTGTGATTAGATTTTTTCATTTTTATTTACTTGAGATTCATTATAAATATCCTGTGTATGTGTGTGTATGTGTATGTGTGTGTGCAAAGTTTGTCTTTTATTTTACCACTCTTTTCATTTTCCTACAGAAATACCTGTAATAAAAGGGGCCAGAGACAGGGCTAATTAGAGCATATTCACCACAGTGCCACACAGTTCATCTTAAAGGTTCATGTTGATCTTGGCAAACATGTCAATATTAGCTGTTTACTTTGGTTTGAAGTGTGTATGCATGTTTTATATAAAATATATTCAGTAAAGTTCTGCATTTGGATATGTAGACATCTCTATGTGGAAGAAATATTGGAGTAAATGCAGAATCCAGCATAGGCAAGTAAGTATGTGTAGCCTAAGAGTTCTACAGGGTCTGAGCAGATAGAACGCTAATAAGTAGCAAGGGGTAATCAGATATCATGTGGGGGCGTGGTAGAAGATGAGAAACCTATTCAGATATCCAGAACCAGGACCCTTGCTAAACTGAGTCAGCAGGGAGCTTGATAAAACTATATATTATAAGCAAGTGTATTGATGGTCCTTAGGAAAAAAGTTGGATTGTAAAGAATGGTGTTGATTTTAGGAAATTTTAAATTTTTGTGGTGGTGTTTATTGGTGTGTTAATGGGAATGGAAACCAGAGCTTTGTGTATGCTAGGCATGTACTATACTAGCATCCTTTACAACAAGGCCAGGAATTCAAGTTTTACAAAATGCTAACACTTCTGCTTCTATATCTCCAAATTCTAAAGAACACAAACCACATTTTTCATCATGTCTACACTTCTATACTTGTGTTTTGAGCAACCTATTGTATATTTTCCTGTGAGGCCAAAGATGGTGGTGCATGACTCTAATCCCAGATACTTGGGAGGCAAAGATCAAGAAGGTCATGGTTCTTAGGTGGTCATGGGCAAAAAACATGAGACTCTGTCCAAAAAAAATAACCAACTGCAGAGAAGGTCTGGGAAAGTAGATCATGTGATAGACCACCTGCCTAGCAAGGAT